GGGGGGTGAGTTCAGAAATTTCAGTAAACTGGCCCTTGATTATGGTATAGAACTTAGGCACTCTTGCCCTTATACATCTGTCCAAAACGGTAGAGCTGAACGCAAACATAGGCATATCACAGAGACTGGTTTAACACTCCTATCACAGGCTCAAATGCCACTTTACTATTGGTGGGAAGCCTTCAAGGCAGCCACTTATCTAATTAACAGATTGCCTACTTCAGTTCTAGATCATAAGTCACCCTATAAAGCTCTGTTCAATAAGGATTTTGATTTCAAACAACTTAAAATTTTCGGCTCTGTGTGTGTCTTAAACCCTATCAGAAACATAAATTTGCTTTTCACTCTCAAAAGTGCGTTTACCTTGGCTATGGTGACACTCACAAAGGCTACAAGTGTTTAAGTTCAAGTGGAAGAGTTTACATCTCATGGCATGTTGTTTTTAACGAGTCTGATTTTCCCTTCAAACTTGGTTTCCTAAACAAACAAGTCCAATCTCAGAACAACAATCTTGGAATTAACTGCCTTCCCTTCATTGAACCTATTAATCATAACACACTCCAAGCTGTGACTGCAGCTCCTACAGTCCAACCTAAGGTTATCCCTGCACAAGCTCCTATTGCTGGAGAAATTGAAACTGAGTTTGGTGGAGGTGTAATAAGTAATGAAGTGAATCATGAAGTTGCATCAGATATTGAAACTTCAGATATTCAACCTGCTGGAACAGAATCTCAGATTGCAGTGGATGATGAAACCTTTCCAGAAAGAATCCCTTCTCAGTATCTTGGACATCATATGACAACAAGGAGCAAGGCTGGGATTTTTAAACCTAAAACCTACATAAGTGTATCAGCAGATAAACTAGATACAGTTGAACCAATAGATGCAAATGAGGCATTGGCAAATGAGAAATGGAAAAACGCAATGGGAGAAGAATACAGTGCTCTTATGAAAAATGACACATGGACTCTGGTTTCACCTGAAGCTGGAATGAAAGTCATAGGTAACAAATGGGTTTTTAAACTCAAACTTGATACAAATGGAAAAGTTGCAAGATACAAAGCAAGACTCGTAGCTAAGGGCTTTCTTCAAACACCTGGTATCGATTTTGGTGAGACCTTCAGCCCTGTAATTAAGGCTGCCACACTCAAAATAATTCTAACCCTTGCCGTGTCAAAGAATTGGCAAATCAGACAGGTAGATATAAACAATGCCTTTCTGAATGGAACTCTAAATGAGGACGTTTTTATGAATCGACCACAAGGGTTTGTTAACAAAAATTACCCCAGTCATGTTTGCAAACTTAAGAAGGCCTTGTATGGATTAAGGCAGGCTCCTAGAGCTTGGAATAATAAGCTCAAACAGACACTGCTGAAGTGGAATTTCAGACAATCCAAGGCTGATAATTCCCTTTTCTTCTTAGCTAAAGAGACTGATATTTTGTTTGCTTTGATTTNTTGATGATATAGTTATCACAGGTAACAATGATCATCAATTACAAGAATTTATTGACAAGCTTAATCATAGCTTTGCACTCAAAGACTTGGGGAAATTAAGGCAGTTTCTGGGAATTGAAGTATCAAGAGATGCAGCTGGTTTACACCTAAGGCAAACTAGGTACGCAACTGAGTTGCTGAGAAGGTTTGGATACGAAAATTTGAAACCTAGCATCACACCAATGGCCGTGGAAAAGCAAATCTCCAAAAGTGAAGGTCAAGCAATGGGAGATCCTACTCTTTACAGAAGTGGCATAGGTGGTCTTCAGTATTTGATTCACACCAGACCAGACCTAACATATGCTGTAAACAGACTAAGTCAATATCTCCAAAGACCAACCGATGAACATTGGAAAACCTTAAAAAGGGTCTTCAGATATCTAATAGGCACACTGAGTTATGGATTAACTATCCAAAGAAACGATAGCCTGGAGATCACAGCCTTTGCAGACTCAGATTGGGCTTCTTGCCCGGATGATAGGAGATCAACTGCTGGTTACCGTGTGTATCTTGGAGATAACTTGGTGTCATGGAGCTCTAAGAAATAGCATGTAGTAGCTAGGTCCAGCACGGAGACAGAATACAGGGCATTGGCCCATTGCACAGCTGAAATCACGTGGATCCAGTCACTGATGAGTGAATTGGGAATTGCTCA